TTATAACTATATAAGTCTACATTGGGTTTGTAAATCTATATAAAATTTTATATAACATTTATATAACTTTATAGAATTACATAAGTTTTATAAAAAATAGACTTTGTGATGTATATATTTTCTAAATTGCTCTACACGCTTTACAACTAAGTCAATTGATGAAATCATAATGTGATACTCTATTTTTGTAGAAAACCAATGTTGTTGACGATGACGACAACTAATTCTATGAAAGAGCCTGTGAACCATCTAGCATGACCTGCCTGGTTCTGAAGGTAATCAAGATTTTTTAAAACAGCAAGTTAATCATTTATTGAGCGGCTTATTAAAGGTACATTGAACTATTGAACTGATTATATACACTCATACAGTTTGACAATCTCACTTGTATGTAGCAAGGTTAAAATATATGGTTTGGCACAAAACACAGAAACAAATGAATAGTATTTCAATACGCAGATACTGGAAGTCTTCACAAGTTTTTAAGAAAAAATTTTAATAATCTTACTTAAAGATATTATGTTGGATTTAAGTAACACTCATGATGCAGGATATATTTATGCAGACTTTCACAGGGGCAACATTTCGATTAGTGAAAATATTCAATCTTACGTCTCAAATCTAGGATTGTCTAAAAATATGGCAAAAATAATTCAGAAGTGTCATATATGGTGTCATGCCTTATGTCACTCCTGAAGTTTTATTAAATCAAAAGTTTACAAAAGCAGCTGATATTTATGGCTTCGGAGTCATCATATTAGAGAAGTCAAACAGATAAAGACATTTTGATGGTTATGAATTAAATCTTGGTCTTGCAATAAAAATTTATAAAAAATTGCTGCCTGAATTTGCACCTAGAACCCCGGATTGTTATATTGCATTTGCTGAAAAGTGTATAGGCCCTGATTCGAAAAAGGCTTATTGTATTTGAAGTTTATGAGAAACTTGAAAAATGAAATAAATTTATGAAAGTTCAGATAATACAAATAAAATTATAAAACAATTTTTAGAAGCAGATAAAGCAGTCAAAGACTGCCAATTGTTTACCAAAATATCTCGACGTTATTTAACTACAAAATTAACAATGTACAAAGAATATAAATGCAATTAAGGGGAATTTTGTAAAATTACACTATTTTACTTACTTATTAAAGCTAATTATGTTAAATTAGCAGCTTTCCAAGTCAACCTATTGCTTCTGTTGAAGTTCCTGATGCAAACATACTGCACGTATAATCAAAATTTATTGCTCATCTTATATTTGCATTTAAATTAAATTTTTTTAAAAGTATAAATTTATTTGTTATATTTTAATTTTTGAAGAAAATATTGTAATTATTATTGAATAATTATTTGAAAAACGATATAAAAAGTATATCATAATTTTACTTAATTATAAATCTTTGTTAAGAAATTATGAAATTGTAGATTATAATTGTTTGGAGATTTAAATTACTGTACTAATTACTTAACTAATTTTAAAATATAATAACTATAATGGTTAATAATTTATCTATAGCATATTTTGGCATTCTCAAACCTTCTTTTTGAACATGTTATGTTTTTCCATATTTGTGTAGCATATTAATTCAATATATAAATGCTTCAATAAAAAACTTTACAAAATGCTTAATAATTCATATCTTTTAAAAACCATATATAACAACATAAAAAACTCTTATAAATTAAATTAAACTGTATCATTTATACTCAAATCGGTAGCGATCTTAATAAAATGCTCAGCTTCTATAGGTTTTACAAGACAATCATTCATTCCTGATTCTATGCATTTATTGTATGTTTCTTCTGTTTTTGAAGCTGTTAAAGCAACAATTGGAATATTTGAAATTTGTGAATTTAGTGATCTAATTGCTCGTGAAGTATCGAAACCTGAAGTCTCAGGCTAATTGTAATATACAATAAATTTTATTAGAAATAAATTTAATTTCAGTATAAAATGTTAACAAGTAAAACATACCATTATACAATCCATCAGAACTAAAGAAATGTCAAAAGATTTCATTTTATCCTTTTCAGAAACATATTTTGAATTATTAATACTTAATAATTTAAATTCTGATTGAAGAATATTAATCGCCTCTTGACCATTAGTTGCTAATAATGTCGAATAACCAAGTTCTTCAACCTTTTTTTGCGTAATCTAAAAAAGATAATTTAAAATTTTAATAAATAATAATAATTATAATTTATTAAAAAGATTTTTTAAATCTAATTACCTTGAGGTCCACAGGATTAGCATCCTTAAAATAAAAGTTTATATTTAGTATTATGATAACAGAATATTGGTTTTAAAAATAAAATGGCCTACCACACATAAAATACGTTTTTTGTTATAAGTTATTAATCTACACTTAGTAGCTTTCCCCGTATTTCCAATTTCATAACTTGACATTCTTTTTTTGCTAATATTTAATGGTGATGTCACTGACGATGCCAAATTGATTTTTAAAGATGATTCAAAGTCAAATTTAAATTTTTCTGAATTATTGTTCATTATACTTTTAGCATTATAACTTATAGAGTTTTCAAAATTCTTATAAACATTCTCTTCTACATCTTTTTCTAAATTATTATTACATGAACATTGATTTATTAATTTTATATAGGTAATTGGTTTAGAAATGCTAGTAGTTTTTCCTCCAACTTTTTTAATCAACTTGGTTGCTAAAGCTTTCTCACTGGTATTTAAAAATATCATAAAGACAATTAATAAATTATCATCATGTACTTTTCTTAGTTCTAACACAGTCTTCGTAACTTCCTCTGCATTTTTTTCACAAAGATTAATAAATGCTATATCATAAGCAGCATGGTTATATAATTCTTTATAATGTTTTGCTGCATGAATTCCTTTATCACAGGTATCAAATACACCAACTTTTTCAAAATTTTTAAGAAAATTTGTTATGGCAATTCTTGCACTTTCAACTGGATGAATTAATAGTATACGCTTTAATCTTAAATGAAGTGGTAAAATATTGCTAATTGCTTCATTTGACGATAATATTGATGACGAGTCATTAACAAATTTCGAAATAGCAGATATTGGTAATAATTCAATATTCCATGTAAACCAAAATTTACTTCCTCTTCCTAATCGACTTTCTGCACCAATTTCACCTTTATTAATTTCTACCAACTGCTTACTAATTGACAAACCAAGACTTGCACCATTATGTTGCCCAATTACTGAAGTATCGATCTTTGAAAAACTTTCCCAGATGCCTTGCATAAATTTAGAACAAATTCTATTATAAAAGTATTAATATTAGAATAAATTAATCGATAATATTAATAATCCTACTAAATACAATCATCGTAATTAACTTACCCAACACCAGTATCATTTATTTCAAACAATAATTTTGCTTTTTTAACTAATTGACCACGATCATTTTTTGTATCTTCGTCTATAACATCCAAAGATTTCATGAATATTTTCATAACTATTTCACCCTCTTTAGTGAATTCGGTACTGAAATAATGGTTTATAAATTTTAATAAATGATAATATTATGTTTATCTTTAAAACTGAAATATACTTACGAATTTGATAGCAACTGCACTAAAACCTGTTTCATTCTATAGAATAGATAAACAATAAAATATTACATTTAATAATTTTTGCAAATTAAATCTTTAAAAATAAATCTTACCTATCAGGATCAGTCTTAATATATTTTGGTAATGTATTCGTATCATAATTCATAACCAATTCAATTTGTTTATTTCCAGCTTTTTCTCCAAATATTTCAATTGTATTTTCCAATAAACCAGATAAATCAAAGACCTTATCAACTAATGTAACTTTATGTGCTTCTAATTTTGCGACATTTAGAATATTATTAATTAAAGATAACACTGTATCAGAAGAATGTATCATGATATTAATCATGTCTTTTTGTTCAGCATTTAATTCATCATCATCTTTAAATGAAGAAAGAATTCCTACTATCGCTCCCAATGGTGTTCGTAATTCTAATATAAGAATAACAATATTGTGAGGAAGAAAATATATTGTGTAATAATAATCGTTTAAATTTCATACCATGTGAAGTATTAGCTAATATTTGAGTCTTTATATGATTTGCGGTCTCAATTGCGTCTATCTGTGCCTCTTTTATCGCTCTCTCTCTTGATAATACCGCATTATTAATAGATACATTTATTTGATTTGATATTTGTTGAAATAACCCAATTTCTGAATCATCCCAAGTAAAATTTGGTGATCTATGTGCTTTTATCCATCCTAAAAGTTTATTATTAACTATTATATTTCCAGATAACATAGAAACTTGTCTACTAGTATCTACACAGTGCGTATTTTGTGAAACTTCTACTTTAGTAGCACAATCATCATTTGTATCATCACTTACAGAAGGAATGTAAGTTGTGTCATTCATTTCCAGCATTTGCTCTATTGTTATTTGGTATTAAATTATTTAATTCACTTTAATAAATTAAATTGAAGTTAGATTCTTATACATCAGCACTTTGATTTCATGTAAATTTTTAAAATGGTAAAAACTTTATACCTATTTATCTCTGGGTCTTCAGATAAAGCGACCATTGTACGGCTTTGAACTTTGATTCATGTAAAATAATAAATATCCTATCGCAACGTATTGCTTGATAAATTTCCTTAACAACTTTTGAAAGTGTTTCTTTTAAGCTTAATCCAGAAAGGATGTTATCAGAAATTGAAATTAGTAATTGTTTTATTTCTTCTTGTTTACATAGCCGAGATATTATTTGATAACGAAATTGCGAAAGCTTAATATTTGTATGTATTCGAGCTATTAGCTGTCGAGAATTAAACGGTTTAACTATATAATCATTTGCACCATCATCAAATCCTAAGAGATAAATAAGGTAGAAATAGTATAAAAATGGTGTAACAGTATTGTAGCGAAGGAATTTATCGAAAGTAGATACTACCTTTGATACTAAAACATTCACCAGCCTTTGCAGTTAGTAAGATTACCGGCATTAGTCTTGTCTTTGGATCAGATCTTAGCGCATTTAATAATTCATAACCGTTCATATTCGGCATCATGACGTCTATTAATTTAATTAATAAAAGTACAAAAGTTAAAAGCAATTATTAATGCGTAAGCATATGTGGGATCTTTGCTAGGAAAATCACCCTTCGACATTTTCCGATCGGGATAATTCGGACAAATTCAAACCAATATACCAGCATGTAAATCATTTTTGCCTTTATTGATTTAAACATTCATTCGATAAGCTATTGAATCAATAAAGGCAAAATGATTTACATGTAAATAAGTACCGTTTAAAATGTTCCGAATTGGCCCGATCGGGAAATGTCGGAGTGTGATTTTCCTAGCAAAGATCCCATATAATGTAAATATGTTAATATAATAAGTAGCTGCGCAACGTTGTCGCGCGAAACCAGGAACGGGAAAGTAGCACATTACAATGTTGAATACTAATGACATCAACAATTTGTGAGTCTGTTAGACAG